GATATACATATTATGTTGTAACTAATACATGTAATGTTGTGTTATCTCTGCTAATACGTATTTTTAAATAGTCTCATAATCATCTGATGCATGTGAGGAACTGGAGAGTAAATTCCTTTGTTCGAAGTAGCTTACTTAATTTTTAGTTATTTTCTTTGATGTCATCCACACTAAGCTACAAAATTTGTCGGTTTGTTTGTTGGTTACTTTTTGACGGCTAACCCGATATATGGATCTTAATGAGAATTTTATGAAAATAGATTACGTATACATATTATATATATTATGAGGACGACCATAAGATATCTTTTAATTAAAAAATAAGCAGTCGAAGTATAACAACCAATGATGGAATAAAAGCATAACATGTCTTATCCATTACTCTTTTATTATCACATAAAATAAACACTGCATGTATCTATTTGTGCATGTTGTTAAGTTTATATAATCTGAATATGTTTTATGTAACTTTTGTTATATATTGACTCCTGGAGGGTGGGGAAGATAGCACGTGCGTGAATGTGTAGTGTTTGAACATTGGTAGGAGCACAGTTGCGGGCACAGTTTCGAAAACAACATTATGTTGTATAATCAAGTGAGTTACGGAATTAATATTGACAAAAATTGTGCAAATTTGTTGGACAAATACTAATTTTTCCTACAAAATTCATAGATTTGGCTATGAATTTACTACTTATTATCATAATGGCTAAATGACTGTTGCAATACTAGAACATGAATACTAGATTTTTGGGCTTGTTAAAATACATAATACAACATTGAAATACAAATACATAGAAGTTAGATTGTAATTAAACATTTTATCCAACTTTTGTGTACAGGTACAGTGTATCCCGAATTTACACAAAATAATGTTTATGCTAATAAGCACGGAAAATACCAGAATATACAGCCTGTACCAATAATTATATTAGTCAGAGGCATTTAGACTTGTTGAGCTCTACTGACAAAATTAACATATTCACTGTTTCATCTCAACTGGTTCCCACTTTTGAATTTCCTATTAGTGTTTACAAAGGCAGAGTCAATACGATGCGGTAGCCAGAAATTTTAATGTTCACTCCTTAAGTTTTCATTGTCAACTTTATGACTATAACAGAAGGCTGCCTTTCAATTGTGGATAGATTATGAAATGAAGATCCACACGTTGCTTTATTGTTGAAATTTGTTTACAGAATTTCGAGTTATTGACTCTGCCGTGAGAATTGGTTTCTAACGTTCGTAACCCTGGTAGGTCCGATCGATCAAACATCTAACATACTACTGTTAAGCATTTTGAAGCCATAAGCGAGTAAATGAACAAGCCAGTAATTCTGTTTGCATTGTGCGGACCAATAACCAAGCTCTGTCTGTATGGAAAGAAAGTTTATTTGGTATTTTCAGATGTTTTCCGACTTGGAATGTGAAATAAGCCGATACTTACATATTTTGTCTTTTTCTTAAAACGTTGTTATATCTTACAGCTAAAGCGTTATGCCTTTTAAATTACCTTTTTGATTTACTATGTCCCTGGATATGACTTCTCTTTTTAGCTCGCTCAACAGCTTCCTATTGCTGTTTCTGTGTGCAAAAATTATCTGTTACCGCGATAATACATACATACGCTCATAAATACGTACTGATAATGTATATGTGTATACATACTTATACATAAAACTTAAATTTTTCGCATTGAAATTAAATCCATTTGACTAATTTCACATTCAAATTGAAGAAAGCAAGTCAGACACCGACTTTAGATTAAAGAGGTTCTAGTCTTCAGGATTAATAACGTATTAGTGATATCATGGATGTCACATTATATCGTAATATCGGTAGTGTTCTTCATGTGTACAGGTTGTCACTTATTATCAGATGGCCCGTTCGCTTGTTTAGCATTTCAATTACAAACGAAAAAATATAACCAAAATATAAACACATTTTCTATAACAATAATAAATTAAATTCGCTATGACATTACGGCTATGAATTAATTTTAATAATGTATTACAAAAAAATAGTACGGTTAGTAAATTAAATGGGTTGTTTTAATTTGTCACGTTTTGTACAGTAACTTTAAGTTCTATTTATATTTTTATCACTGTTCGTAACTTGTACAAACAAATCCCCAACATTAACGCTGCCTCCATCGGACTTCCGATTCTCGTAATCGAATAACTCAAATAAACTCAGGTGGAACTTTTCAATACGCTTCGTGACCATGACGCGTACGATTGAAACGCTTTATGCGAAACAGTACCAAATGGATTATTTTTTATTATAATAAATATAATATTATTTACGCATTTTAACGTTTGTAATGTTTGTATCATAATACCTATTGTGCAGATATAGTGATATTTGTAGATATAGAAGTAATGTCGATTTTTAATAACAGGATAAGAATCTCAACCTAATCTTACTATAAGATTCTATCATTCTGCTTCAAATTTGCAAAAGTGTAGTATATTAAGTCGTATCTTGCTCTGATACAATGATCTACACAAAGTACCCACAAGGATTCCTAGTTTTTTGTACTATGGTTAAAGGTTAGCAATTCATATGGAATTATCATTACTCATACATAAATATATATACATACGACATGATTCTTAAAAATTAAAAATAGAAGTTTTAATATGCGTTTACTATTGCATAAACTATTCTCTAAATATAAGCTTCTGTAATACGAAACGCATAGATCAATTCGTTCCAAACTTGCATTTTGTAAGGCAATAAAAAAAACTTACAGCAAAAGTTCAAATTAAAGTCACAAAGCACAGTGTTACAATATTTGATATGACAAAAAACTATCTCTCCTGAGTTTTGTATAAGATACACTGTTTGTGCAGGAAACCGTATTGGTCGTGTCGGCAAAGATTAACGAGATGTCGATTCAGCACGAAATGAGGGAAGTCACGCTAATTACCATAGTAATCCCAGGCACAGTGGTGGGTAATGACACATCTGTTAATTTGACAGAACTCTATTATTGAATGTGTTTTTATATAAGTAGATACTACCTATAACATAATTACGTATACCCATATTTTTTACCTATAATACGACGTTTGTAATCAACCACTTTAACTTCAATGGTAACACTGATAGGATATCTGATCTGTAAACGAATTGTACGTAGGTACTAAGTTATTTAAGTATTTGTCTTCTATTATTGTCTCATACTTCTAACCTGGAATACAGCATGCAACCTACTTACTTTACGATTTTACAGCTTTCTATAGTAATGACTAACCTAACATTGAATGTGTAGATTTAAACTATCCATTGCAAATATGTCAAATTTTAGTCATTTTATTAGCACTGTTTTATCGTCTAAATGTGTTTGAGATATAATATATAATTAAGACAATGTTAATGTTTCAATAATTTATTTAATAATTAATATAATAAAATAATAATATAATATTCGGAATATAAAATGATACTACAATTTAATGAGTACAGCATTTCATTTCGAAACAATTTAGTACAAATTAACATGATTTAAATAGTGAAATAAGTTTTGAGATGACTTATAATAATATCATATAGTACATTTATTTATTAATTTGTGACAATATGGATATTTGAAAAAATATATGAAAATGTTAATACTTATATTTAAACAAAACTTCTAATAATCTACGAGTTATACACAGAATAAAGTTGTTCAGATATTAAAAGATATTAAAGTTCATGTAAAACATAATTATTTGATTATATAATATAATAATTTATTGTTGATTTTTTGTGCATTTATTTCCAATTTATATGAATATTTTATACTGTTTTAATTATGTGAATTGTATATAATAAAATAACTAAATTAATCACTGCTATCTTTGACTGCCCTTTTATTATTAATAAGCAAAACAATTTAATATTTGAAATTGTTTTACATACTTATTAATAATATTATATTATATACTTTTTTAATAAATTGTATATATGATAATTATAGTAATAATGTATTTGCCGTATGATTAAATTATTGGAGATTACATAAGTCTAATAATAGTTATAGGTATTAATTAATTATGTATTCAAGACGGAGTTTAGCTCTAATACTGTTAAGAAAGATATACCACATAGTAATGAGTAACGTAACCATCAAAATGTTAATAATAATACTAATGTATACAGAGTGGATGTAAATATAATGCAAAAAAGTAATTTTCATTGTATTTAATCGCTAATAATATTGTAACTATGATAGTGACAGAAGTAATTTTTTTTTATAAATTATTGAAAAAGAAAAACAAATATCTGTACGGATTTTTTCAAGTTCTGATTCTTAACTATATTTTCATTCCCAATCAAGAATTTTCTGATATCTAAAAAAATCTTAATAAATAGCATTTATACTTTCAATGCACCCCATACACATTTATATATAATATATTAATAAAATGCTGTAAATAATATGTATTCCTACAATGACAATATATTACAGAGTAACATTTAATCCTCACCTGAGGGTTTTCACTTTATACAGTCTCAAATTCAATTTAATTTACATTCAATGCGAAAATATACGAAATTCTTATTAACAAAAACAATAGTCTGGAGCTAATGTCACTACCACTATTGTTAAATACTATTTACAAGTTATTTTAAGGTTATTTTGTACACAATAATTTACTTTGGATCGTGTGTCGTGAAACCTGGGTCAATTGTACATTATAAAAATAAATCTTAGGTTTAATTATTATTAGATTAGATATTTATATTATACATGTTATGTAAATTACAACAATTAGTTACAGTACATGCAGTTTCAGGGATATTATACATAAAATTTGATATTAGAGTATAAAATAAAAGTCCCTAATCTAAATTGAAAATTAAGATATGAGTTAATTACTCATTGTTGATATATTTAAGGAATTAAATATTAGGATAGATAAATAAATTTAATATAGATAAAAATATTGTTAATATCAAATAGTCTAAACATTTTTTAATGAAATAGTTAATGTAATTAATAAATACAAATAAGTATATTTTCGATGACAATAAATAATAATTGAGGGACTATTAAATCCAGTCAACACACGGACGGACATAAATGCTATAACAATGTAATTTTAAGAAACCTTAAAATACATTACAATTATATTAAAATAAAAATCACAGCAAATCTCAATTATCTATCTAGTAAACTTTATAATTTCTATCTATAGTAACAATGGTGTCATATCTTACATTATATTGCGTATTAATTACACTTAAGAAAATTCGTAGTATTTTTTACAATAACTATTTTTAAGATATTACAGACTTGCCTAACGAGATCAGGTGAAATTAATACTTAAGTAACAAATTGATATTACGTAGTATTGTTACGACTATGTTGCCATTGTATGCGTTTACACTTGTATTTTTTATTACAGTTCACTGTGACAGTAGAATTACATACATGTTAATAAAGTGAATAATTATTTGTATATGCAATGAAATAATCAATTACTGACACCGAATTCTTTATTTATTACGTTTATAATTAATTAAGTTTAAATTATCGTGACTTATATAATAACTAAAATTATTTAAACTGTGACTTATTTGTTCTATATATATTTGATACGATTTTGATTATGCGAGCTTGATATAAGCCCACTGCTAATGTATGTTGTTTATAAATGTCATTATGGATCTATATTATATATGTGAATATTATTTGACTCATTGAGTGTCAAGATATATAGGCAATAAGTTTGGTTTTCACCTGTTTCTAATTAAAGTTTTTACCAACAGAGTTTCATATTTAATTAAGTCCCTAATTAACAAATTTGAACATTGGAGTTAATTAAAGTTAGAATAAAAAATGTTATTAATAATAATTGTGAACAGAAAGATGTTCAAAGTTGACACTTCGTACCAAGCATTGATATAATTTTTATCAGTACTGATAGGTCTGCAGACTATTTAAAACATTTTTTTCTCATAGTGTATCGAAACAAATTGCGATACGAACTGCTCGTTGGGTAAGTCGGTGGAATACATTCTAACTTTGTCCATAAATGGAACATTACTCGTTGCCCGTCATAAATATTCATTGTCGGCAACCAAGACGAAGTTTCGCGTTTCTCGTTTCAAAGTAGATGCGAGAATATTAGTGAATTTATGAGTAAAAATGTTCAACACTTCAACGTGATTTTTCTGAACTTCGATAATATTTATCTATCAAGATTGGAAAGATAATATCATATATATCGACTAAACTTATTATTACATTAAATTAAACTATGTACAGTGTGACCATGTTTATAAAAGGCAAAGTTACAAACAGCCGAAATTAAACGATTGAAAGTGTCAATGTACACTATCACTGAACAAAGTCATATTACAGGGTTTGCACTATTAAGTGTCCCAGATCAAAGCAAAGCCTCTTCAAGTTGGTCGAAGCCCTCGTACCATCAGTCGCTCTCGTAAACAGTCGAGTTTGAACTCTTCCTTCGACTGTACGGAGAACAAAACTCGATCCTGGTGTCTGGTAGCCAGGTGTACGCAGTGCGTTCAGAAGATGCACTGAAATAGAACAAAAACAAACATTTTAATATACTTCGTCTATATAACGAATAGAAATATCTTTAAAGTCTATGTATGTATATACATTTAAAATATTATTGATCTATCATTCGTATTAATGCCATAACCGCAGCCATAATCGCTATATGCTGGTTTCAAAGTACACTTACAAAATCGACACAGTTACGAACATGTCACAGAAGCCCTTAGTGTCAAAAATGTCTAAAAACCGTAATTACCGCAAAATATAACGGATATCCGGAAAGGTGCCAATGAGTTTTCATTGGAACGTCTATTTTTATACTGACAATATTTTACGTATTTAGTGCAAATTATGTAAATTTGAATTTAAGCTGTATTTTTCATTCTAATATTGCGAAAGTTTATATATTTGATTATTAACTTTTCACGGCTAAACAGCTGAACTAAGCTTAATAAATATGTGAAGATAAATTCCTACGAAAAGACATAAGCTATCATTTATCTTAAAAAATAAATGCAGTCGCGGGTCATAGCTAGTAATTTATAGTTGCGATAAATAAAAAACATAATTAAAAGTTAATATTGATAAAATTGAACTTGAATAATTATGATCATACATAAAAGATTATAGAACATATATATAGATACATTATAGACATAAAAGTTTTGAAATAATAGTAGGTATACCCATGATAAGTTAATGAGCCATGTTTCGTTGTGTTCTACTATAATTAATGCTTACAGCATTCAATATTGTTGCTGTTGCATTGAACATAAAGAGCTTTGAATGGTAAGCAAAGCGGTTTACAACGAAACATACTGCCACAATTGGAACACGTTTGGACAAAGCAAATACATGGTCACACTTGGTCAACGGCGATATTTTGTAACAGCTTTTAACCATAATTTCCGGTTAGTTAACTAGAACTAGAAATAATAATTTCTTACCGAATATTCTACATGTAAACTCGTCTTTGTGTAATTACTATGGCAGTTAAAAGATCATTTATAGTACGTACGACAGCATTCAGTGACCACAGTGTCATAACTTCTTTTTATAGTCTATACAACATACGGATATAAAAAATGGCATATTGGATTTTTCAACGGACTTTTTTAATCAAATAAATACATTTAAAGGTACGGTTCCAGTATTCGTCGAAGTGGATGGCGATAATTTGGTACCAGCTTAAATTTATTGTTAATTTTGTATAAACACGAGTATGTTATATTTACCGATTTTTTTATACTACGATGGTGGCTATCATTTATATATGTTATAAATAAAATTAAATATGTTATTTATTATTATTATAAATAAAAAATAGTTGAGTAGTGGATTTAAAATTCCAACTAATAGGTACATAGTTATTCTTTAAGTCAATATTTAAAAATTAAGCACTGAAGTGCATTGCAAAGTACACATGCATTCGCGTTGGGAGTGCCACCTACGAACACTTGAGTAAACTCTGTCGATATTTATCTTCACCTTAGAGGCTCATGGGTTGTTGTTTCAGGGAACCCTACAGTTCAGAGGTCATTGTACTTGACATATTAGGAAATAAAGACCTCTATAACTCTATATAAATATTTTTATATTACAATACTTGAATCATATATTTTTAGAAACCAGTTTATCCATACCCTGTCATACACAAAAACAAAATATTATTTTATTGTGGATTTTTTTACACTACTGGCAATTTTTTTTATTCCCGATATTATATTGTCAAAAATTTGATTGATCACTGTTTGGCAACTGACAGCTGCTTTAAATACGTTTAAAGAGTTAACTGTAGGAAATCGGATATTCAGAATTTATAAACGTGTTTAGCGAAATATGTAGTGGTGAAATGCAAAATGAAGCTTTGAACATGTTTAAACGTTTTAATGGCGTTCAGTTCGAACTAAACGCGATCAGTTTCTTTGGTGAAATCCGACCTAAATATTCTTACATGTAATAGAATAATTGTATTATATAATGAACTAGTTATACACGCGACTTCCTCCGCGTAGAATTTAACTTTATTTTTCTAAAATAAAGGTAGCCGAAGTTACTCCTTACTACAGCCAATAAAAGTCCCGTCAAAATCATTCCAGCTATTTCAGAGATTAGCTAGAACAAACAGACAGACAGACATATAGACAGACAAAAATGGTAAAAAAAATATTTTGGGGTATACATGTACCGTATATATACATGTAGTAAAAAACGGTTATTTCAATATTACAAACAAACTCTCCAATTTTATTTATATGTAATAGATGAAATAAGCTATATTAGATGAAGTTAGTATATAAGAAACGTGAATGTATTGTAAACTGTAAACGATAAAAACTGTAGGATTACATACCAAAAAAAAATGTATAGCTATATATCCTATACCTAAATACGACATTATACTTAGAATAGGAGACTTTTTTTCTAAAAAATTATAAATAATATTTTATTTACCAAGAATCTCTATTTTATTCATCGAGGGCTTTTATTTATAGCAAGGTTTATGGAAATTAAATTTATATTCTGTTTAGGTTTTCTTACTCTGATTGTGACAGCATTGACGTTTAAATAGAAAGACATTTTGATATCACTTTAGATGGAAATGGAATTGTTTTGTTCATTACTTCGGATTTGATGTAAATGAATTTAACAACGATTCTTTCTCATAAGTTCGACAAATTTCAATTTATTTTCCATCAAATTTTGGTTTATATAGAATAATTTTCTATGTATATATGTATTTACTTTTAAATATTAATATGTCACACAAATGTGACGAATTTTTCACTAATATGGGAAGTATACCAATTCGTACAGTAATAAATGCTAAGTACGGAGTAAGTACTTTACATATAATAAATACACTTTGTAAATTCATTAAAGTGTAATATTGCTGCTGCACTGCTTTATTGATGCAGTTTTTTCATAAGAGTAATAAAACTACCATATTTTCTTCAGTTCCTTACTCAGCTTCTTTTCTTGTCGTATTTTGCAATAAAATTTTATAACGTATTTTATTTTATAAGTAGGTAAATACCTAGCTAGGTATTTACCTTTTGGAAATAATATATTTCAGCGAAGTATAAAGATGCAATAAAAAATATGTTTTTTACGTAAACAAGTCAACGGTCAACCGGAATGACAGTAATCGTCGCCCATACACATACGAGTACATTAACAGAATCACTAATATCACGTTAAATAAACAACTCTCATCAAATTATCAAGTTCTCTCACATTTCACATTTCACATCTCTCACCGGAATGCCTTTAATCATATAGATTAAACAAAGCAATCGGTAGAATTTATTTTGACATTATTCTGAAAAAAAATTACAAAACCATAAAAAATCAATCTCATCACAATATCACCGCGATAATGGTATTATTATACAAAATTAATAATATAATACATATAGGAACTAATTACTCATATATCTTATTACCGCTATTAGATGTAGTTATTAATTACATGATATGTTGTCATCATAATGGGACTTGACATTATAATCTGATCGTGTCTGCCTCCCGGTTAGTAATAATTCAATATTACAGCGGTTCATTTGATGTTTAATCAAATAGTTATATTCCACGTTGGTCCCATTTCAAATAACCTGTTAGACGTTCTATTTCAAGAAGTGTGATAAAGACGACATGATAACGTCATAATCTTTGTAATTGTGTGAGAGGCAATCACTCTGCTGCTTAAGTAAGCGCACAACGTATATCTATGTACATACATATGTATATATATTCATATCTCTGACTAATAGGCAGGGTTGCCAACTTTAAAACACTCGAAAAAATAATAGTTTCACGTATATTAACTCCGTTAGGCTCTATAACCTCCATAACCTTGTATATCGTATTTTGAAACCTTTTCGTAGTTCAAATTTTCGTACTTATACGAGGGATCCTTGTACGCTCAACATGCCTGCTAATAGGTTTCAGATATCCGGCATAGTAACTGAACAAGAAGTCTTCATGTTGTCTATACATATAGTAAAAAAGTATTTGATCACTGTCAATATTTATACTATAATAGTCTTTGTTAACATAATAAAACAACGAACATTGTAATTTTAGTCTGCATTGTGTTTAACCATTCTTTGATATTTTTTGTTTGTTATATTCTAATCGGTTTGCAAAAAAATGTGTAATGGGTACGAATCTGTGTGTGTTCTACTAATACTGTCAATAAAAATACGTCGTTCAAGCTGACAGATTCAATATATTGATATTATGATTTTATCTATGCACTATTATTACATCAATCAATCATTTTAATTCTTAAAGTTTATGACACGATTCAGAATGAACCTGTAATATTTAATGTCAATATATGTATATTATAAAAATTATATACTAGCAAAAGCCTACATCACCACCAGCTAAGTCGCTAATAATGTAGCTTTCCATACGTAAAATAATGATTAAAATTTATTATTATAAATAATCAAACATTTAATGAAATCTTTCTTCTTTATAATATCAGAATAGATTATGTACTCATAAATATATTGTGGCTTGAGTTAAACGAAATTGCTGTTTTTAATTTAGTTTGAAAACCAATTAACGATATGGAAATTTAATAAGTAATTTTATGATATTATGTTCAAATATAATTAATATTTAACTAAATAGCTATCAAAATATTGTTGAAGAGCTTTTTAAATATTCCGAATTGGTGTTAATTTATATTTTCTCATAAAAGTGAAATATCAAATATCAAAGGACAGCTATCTAGTCATCTAGAAATAATTAAATTAAAATACCAACAAAAAAGCAATGAAATTCGAAATTACATTCTTTTAAAAACCCTTAAAAACGCAAATTAAAGCATCGACATATAGTTCTAAAATGACTGAATCATTATGAAGTTCAGTATAGTCGAACTTAGCAAGTAATATCCGTTACGTTTTATATTTCCGTTACGATTTCAAAACTTTTTTTTCTTAAGTCGACTTAAGCTGACCGAGAGACCAAAGATAAGTTGAAAAGGTGAAAACTGACTTTT